TTTAAAATAAAATTTGATGTTTGCGATACGTTTACTATGTCGCATATGATATATGATATAACTATGATATATATGATATATATACTACTGGGGTGGGGGGAGTTGACCCCCCAAGAATTTTTTTTTTCTTTTTCAGCTATTTTGACATTATATTTTTTGAATATTACTTTTGGCCCCCCAAAGGTTTTATAAATATGTGTCTTAACCCTTAATTTTTTTGTTTATTCTCCATAATTTTATATAAATTATAGATATATATATCATATTCATTATAAAAATATAAAATAAAATTGTTAAAACTTGTACTATTTTAAATAAAATTTATGAATATTTACTTATCGATCTTTGATTTTTTATATCAATGTCTCTAAAAATAATATGAGACGGTGCCACGAATCTCATTAAGTGCAATATTGTGAACCTAAAATTTTTTTCGGGCCGCTGCCCCGAACCCTGAAATTTTAGTCCGCCCCCTCTACTTTCTAATCCTGGGTCCCCTAATATATATGATATATATATGATATAAAATACTGTAATTAAATATGATATATGATATAACTATGAACTCATATAAAAATGAAATTATGGTAACATTTAGTTTTCATAAAATTAGAAATATTAAAGCCCTCGTATTATTTAAGTAGGTATACAATTTATAACATGTAACATAAATTCAAATAATATTTAGTTATTTGATTGGGTAATTTTGGTATATATAAAATGATTTTCCTTATTTGCAAATAAGTATGAATGAGCTGGATTTATTTGAAAGACAAAACAGTTGGATGTCCCTCTTTTTATTAAGTACCTTTTTTTTTGAGTAATTAAGTGCACTTGTCGTGGGCATTTTTTAGATTAACCCATATATATATATAATTAATTGGGGAAATTAAAGTTTTCACCCCTCAAGTTTGCACCGATTTCACATTTGGTCTCCAGGTTCATAAAAAACACATTTGGTCCCTTATGTTTCAATAATTTAATACTTTTAGTCATTTTGCGTCAATCTCCCGTTAGTTAAAACTAACGGAATCAAACGTATGCCCATCAATGCCTTAACTAACGGACTAACCGTTAAAATTATTGGAACATGAGAGATCAAAAGTGTTTTTTTGTGAACATAAAAAGGCCAAATGTTGAATCGATGCAAACTTAAGGGATGAAAACTGTATTTTCACATAATTAATTGCTTTTGGGTTTAATTTGTTAGACAAAAGTATTTTTTTTAATCCTTAAATGTAATAAACATGAAATAAATCAAATAACTAAATACAATTGGCAAAATTAGCAGGACCCCCTCATCTAGGAAATGTAGTTAAGAAAAATCTCCTCCAAAAAATAATTAGAGAAAACCCATTTTATTGTTAGCTTGGATAATTAATAAAGGTAACTACTAATTATATCCTTACTCCTAAACCTCAATTTTGGCATCTTCTCTTTTAATATTATTTTTTCCTTTTCCTTTTCTCAATCTACATTCACTATGCTCTCTTCTCTCCCTTCTCCATCGTTTTTTTTTCTTTTTTTTTTCTCGATCTGCTTCTTTTCTCACTCTTAACTTCTTCCCTCTCTTCTCTCTCCCTCTTTACAAGATTAGATCGAAGGTTGAGATGTATAATGCGTTCACGGTTAGGGTTAACCACAGTTTCTCGATTTTAATTTACGAAGATTTCTTCTTCGTCGCCGCAGGTTATGGATTTTTAATTTGATTTTGCTGCCTCTTTTTGGATATGACGGTGGTCATGAAAAAAGTTGGGTTTGGGTGGCTTAGGTTTGGTGGATTTGATGGTGGTGGTTTTGTTTAGGCTGGTAGTGCGGGTTGTAATTTACTTTATTTGTCATTACAAACCGTCAGAATATAGAAGTGTGGTGGTGATGGTGTGGTGTGGCGGCGGCGTGGTGACGACGAGGAGCATATCTATGGTTTTTTGGTAGATTAGGCGGAGGACGGTGCGGGTAGAGAAATTTGCGGAGGCTGGATCCTTAATCGACTATGTATTTTTCCGGTAGTCGATTAAATTAATCGACTATGCTCTAGTAGTTGATTAAAGTGTTAATCGACTGTTTTGGTAGTCGATTAAGGTTACATGATTTCATTTTTTTAATTCGTTTTTGGACTCGTATTTGAATAAATAAATTACAATTTATGTATATTATTTGTTATCTAAATATAGTTGTGTTTTTTTTTTTTTTTTTTTTTTTTATAGTAGTCATTTTCTTAATCGACTATGTTTATATCCAGTGTTCTAAAAATCGGCCGAGGCGGCCGATTAATCGGTCTCCGAGGCGGAGGCGGTCCAAAACCTTTACGATTTTAGTGTAAAGGTTTGAAAATCGGTTTTTTGCCTGTGAGGCGGTTTTAGGCGGTCAAACATTTAAGGCGGGTCAAACTCGGTGGCAAAAATCGGCCAAAAATCGGTAAAAAATCGGTTTTTTTTTATTTTTTAATTTTTTTTATTCTTTATAATTCAATATAAAAGTTGGATTTTAATAAAAGAAAATATGAGTTTATGCCTTATTTTGTTTAAGTTAATTGTTATTGTTAAATAACTAATGATGTATGCTAGGAATGGTCAAGAACAAATGTAAATTCAAAAAATTCGCCTTTTTTTTATATTTTATAAGGATATTATGTATTATGATCTTATAATTATTAAAATTTTATTATGTTATTAGAATATATACATGATGGAGATATAACTATGTTTAAATATCTTTTTTATATATGTTTGGAGTATTTATAAATAATATCTAGAAATATATTATATTAAATTTTAAAAACTGATTTATTTCCGATTTATCACTGATTAATCACCGCCGCACCGATTACCGCTTTTTAGAACCTTGCTTATATCACATAGTCGATTAATACACTTGATAGAAAGAAAAAAAAAGTTAAAAAATGAAAAAAAAAATAGAAAAATTTTAAAAAAAAATAATAAAAATAAAAATAAAAAATAAAGAATAAAAAAACGGCTGATGAGGTGGCAGGACATAATTGGTGATACTGTTTGATGAGGTGGAAGTGACATAATTGGAAAAATGGGTGGCTGAAATTAGGAATGAACCTTTTCTCAAATGCTGCAAAATAGTTTGAGCATCTCCCTATTGAAATAAGTATTGGGGGTTATATCAAAGAGCCCCAATATTATTTGAATTTATGTTACATGTTATTAATTTAATTGTATACCTACTTAAAACATAAGAGGGCTTTAATATTTTTAATTTTATGAAAACTAAATGTTACCATAATTTCATTTTTTATATGAGTTCATAGTTATATCATATATAGGTAAACATCATTAAATTTCCTAAACTTCGGATATTTTTGCACTTTACCCACTGAATAGAAAAAAGTTGCACGGACATACTTAATCTCTATTATTTGTAGCACCGGTAGCGATTTGTTCCATTTTTGTCCAAAATTGGCCGGAATCCATAGCACGTGCATTGTAAGGAGGATGGTTTGGATAATGCAATGTGATGAATAAGGTGTAATTTATTAATAATAATATCCATGAAAGTTTGCTATAAGGGCTCGTTCGGTTACCTATATTGGATTAGATTGGATTACATGAGATTGGATTAACTCCCTACTAACTAATTAATTATTTAGTTAGTAGCATGTTCGATTTCTTAGATTGGATTTTCTATTAAATTTGTTGAAAACAGTTATTATATATGAATTGTCTTTAAAACCACTTGTTTACAATAATAAAATATAATTTTAAGAATAAAATTGTATTTTTCCGTTCACCTCCTATTAAATTAATCTCAGGGGTGCTACTAATTTAATGAAATAGTAGCATTTAATAGCGGGCTTTGATTTTAATAGCGGGTCCGAAAAATTGTGAATCTTACCAACCGGACATGTTATTAGCATCTACTATTTAATCAGTAGCACCTTATAGCAGTAACCAAACAAGCCCTAAATAATTTATTAACTTGGAATCATATATGATATAACTATGAACTCATATAAAAATGAAATTATGGTAAAATTTAGTTTTCATAAAATTAGAAATATTAAAGCCCTCTTATGTTTTAAGTAGGTATACAATTAAAAACAGGTAACATATTTTCAAATAATAATTACTTATTTGATTTATTTCATGTTTATTACATTTAAGAAAAAAAAATACTGTCTTACAAATTAAAGTGTGATTGGCATTTTGCACCCTGCAATTATATTCATTTGGCACTTTACACCCTTAAATTGAAAATATGACAAATTGCATCCTCAAATTAAGATTTATTTAGCATAGTGCACCCCAAAATCCAAAAGTAGTACAATAAAAAGATTTTGGGGGAACTGAAATGGTAAATTTGTGAATAAATTCATTACCAACCTTTTTAACTACAGAAAATATGTATATTATTCCTCGTTCACGGATGTGATTAAGAGTAATTGACCATTTTGCCCATTTAATTATGCTAAAATCATTTTTTCGGACACAAATTTGAGCCGAAAAGTGTCTTCGGTTGCAATGTGCCAAGCAAATCTTAATTTGAGGGGTGCTATCTACCATATTTTTAATTTAAGAGCTCAAAGTGCCAAATGAGCATAATTGGAGGGTGCAAAATGTCAATTACCCCAAATTAAACCCAAAGCAATTAATTATATATACTATTCATATTCCTGACAAATACAATTTTGATCCCTCCTCAAGTTTGTATTAATTTCACATGTAGTCTCTTATGTTTCAAAAATTCAATACTTTTAGTCATTTCCGTTAAAACTAACGGAATCAAGCGTGTGCCCATCACTGCCTTAACTAACGGTAAATTGATGACAATGAACTAAGTGTTAAATTATTGGAACACGAGGAACCAAATGTGTTTTATGAACCTAAGGGACCAAATGTGAAATCGGTGAAAACTTGAGGGGTGAAAACTGTAATTTCCCCATTCATCTTCCTTAACTTCAACCTAGAACAGAGGAATCAAACTACTATTCCATACCCCAAGCGCATCATAAAAAAAAAAAAGAAAAAAAAAAAAAAAACCCTCTTCCCGCCATAAATATACCATTAATTTGAAGACGAAAAATGGAGTTTAGTATAAGTGGGAGTTCACTGAAAACCCTATCTCGCTCCATCACCTGCCTCGCCCGCATCGGCAACGAACTCGTTTTTCAGTCTTCTCCTTCTCAGGTTCAATTATTGTTGCGTTTAATTCAATTCAATTAATTATCTCTGATTTCTTTTTAATTCAATTAATCATGGCTAATTAGGGTTCTAACATCTTGTGGTTCACAGTAGATTTTGGTGGCAATGAAATTTTAAGTGTTAGGATTTTGAAATCAAATTTTGCACTGGTTTTTGTCATGAATTTCTATACAATTTGCCCTAATCTGTGAGACCCATCAATAAAATCAGGATGATTTTTGGGACGCTTGATAATCTGAATTTCCTTTTTTTTTGGGTAAACTACGAACCCCCCGAACGTAGGCTAAATAACGAAAAACACCCCAACATATTCGTGATTACCAAACCCCCCCTCCTTACAGTGTGACTTTTCACGGATTTTTTGGTTCCTGGGAATAGACTTTACGCAATTTCAGATATTTTCTTTTATTTCTCACCTATATAATAGACCGTACACATTTTCTACTAAAAAAATCAATCAACAATTAATCAGAGGAGGGATTTTGGTTATTACGGATAGGTGGGGGTGTTTTTCGTTATTTAGCCTAAGTTCAGGGGGGTTTTCGTAATTTACCCTTTTTTTAATTTTTTTTTTTTGAATTCGTTGCTTATTGGGTTATCTGTGGCTGAAGCATAAAGAATCTATGAGGTCTTGATATATTCATTTATTCAGTAGTATGATAATAATCGTGTTTTGAGTTGTTGGAGTTGACGATAATCGTTGTATCTTTCTTGTTCATTTTTGTAATTTTTTTTTAATTGATGGCAGCTCTCTCTTCATACTCTTAATTCATCAAGATCGGCCTATCAATCCATAACATTCAAGCCCGATTTCTTCGATGTATATTCGGTATCTGGTGCCCTGGTCCAATGCAGCGTGCTTTTGAAGGTATAACGTTTTCTTTTTCCCCTCGGTGTAGATACGATACTACTTTCTGATATGATGTTTTACGCAGGCAATATGTTCGGTTCTGAGAACTCCGATTGCTAGTATCGATCATTTGAACGTTGTGCTGCCCGATTCTGATTCGTCGAAGGTGCAGTGGACTTTGGAATGCTTCAATGGTATGAAATGAAATCCTTTTAGCTTCATATTAGCCTGATTTGTTTTTAATTGGATGAACGAACGACTTTTATGAAGATAAATTTGATATAATTCTCGTAGTTGGGGCAGCCGAGCAACTTGCAAAAAACGAGCTACGGAGGTTAGAATTAGACAATGAAACATTTATTAAATGTTTATGGCGAGGCATAAAAACATTTAAACCGAGTAAATTGTATTCACCTGATCGGTGATTAGAATTTTTTTTATTGGGTTTAAATTTTCTTATACCTCACTGTAAGACATTTGATGAATGTTCCATTGTCTAATTTTAACCTCCGTCGCTCGTTTTTTTGTAAGTTGCGCAGCTGCCCATTCAAGAGAATTATATCAATTTGTATGGTCAAAGTTGATAAATGTATCTGCCACAAACATTCCTAATCTTAGTTACACAACAGCAATTGGTGTCCGTTATTTATTCTGTGATAATAGTTAGTGATAGTCCAACCGAAACCGAACCGAACGATGGTTGAATGCATTTGAATATAAGTTTGTGAAGTTTTTTATAAATTTTAATGAAAAACTTGGATTGTATTACAACTTGTGAATGAATCTTTTATTGCTTTTTATTCTTGTAAGTTTTACAGGTATGAGAAAATCGTATTGGATAACGTGCAACGTCGAACCCGATATACAACATCTATCGCTTGATAGAAGAAAGCTTCCGAGCAGCTTTGTTGTAAGGCCTCGTGATCTCAACAGATTACTGTCTAATTTTCAATCAACCCTTCAAGAGATTACAATCATTGCAACCCAACTGCCTGCATTGCCTCTCGATGCTGCTGACGAGGTTGGCGGAAAAGCCGTTGAACTTAGAAGTTACTTAGATCCCACCAAAGGTAACCATGATTTATTTTCCCCTAAAATAATCTTAAAAAAAAGTTTATTATTCAGAAATATATCTTAATTTTGCAGAAAATGATTCGTCGCTACACACTCAGCTCTGGATAGATCCTACCGAAGAGTTTGTCCAGTATACTCACTCTGGTGATCCCGTTGACGTAACATTTGGAGTTAAGGAGCTGAAGGTGATGCAACTATATACCGATTTACATACGAGCAGATTTTCATCAACTTACAAACTTTTTATACACATTATAACTTGAACATTCTATAATGGGCAAATTACGATCACCCCCCTTGAGGTATGGCCAAATTACGAAAAAAAAACCCTCTTGTTTGGGTAATTACAGCCATCCCCTCCTTTTAAATATTTTTACATAAAATTTATGTAATTCGGTTATTTATCAAAGCAAATCGTATATTCAGTTCGGTAAACGGTATGAAATGTTTGGCGTACCGAAATTTACCTCTGGAGGGGTTTTTTCATAAGATAATACATAGTTGAGGGGGTGGTTGTAATTGCCCAAACAAGAGGGGAGTTTTCGTAATTTGACCTTAACTCAGGGGGGTGGCAGTAATTTGCCCTTCTATAATTGACTACTAATTTAGAATTTTTGATAAGTAATTTTCGTAATTGATTATTTCCATAGTCTACAGCACTTATTTTCTTTGAATTTTCTCTTGTTCCAGGCATTTCTTGCATACTGTGAGGGATGTGAAGTTGATGTACACTTGTATCTTGATAAAGCTGGAGAGTAAGAGTCGTTTTTTTTTCCAGTGCTCAATATATTCGATAAGCCCTTTTATTCGTTTACTTTATTTGTGAAGCTGACCCTCTTTTTTTCAATAACGGAAGACAGCTAAAATATAATAGTCGAAAATCACGTTATTTAATGCTTATCTGCTGCTCAACTCGACTTAGAAAATAATTGTTCACTTTAATCCCGTTGTTGTTAAATACAATCTGACAATTGGAGAAGTCAGGCCAATACTGATGGCACCGAAATTCGGGTTAGACGACGACGGTTCGACTTCAAACTTTGATGCTTCCCTTGTACTTGCCACCATGCTCGTGTCGCAACTCAATAACGGTGGAAATTCTTCTCAACCTCATCCAACAGTGGCCAATAACCGGGCCCCGGAACAGCAGGGTACAAAAGGAAATACTTGTGAGAATCCATCGGATCACACCAGAATTTGGTCTGAACTCTCAGGTGAGAACACCATTTATTGTGTATAATGTTAAAACTGTAAATATACATACATATATATATATATATATATATATGTGTGTGTGTGTGTGTGTGTGTGTGTGTGTCATGAACCGATCCACATGCAGGAAGCGCTGTAAGAGATTCTACTTCTGCTGATAGACGAGTCATCAGGGAAAGAAATCAAAATACCAATGACCAGGGGACTACAATTCAGAGGATTGATGCCATGAACATTTCTTTAGATAATACTGGTGACGAAATGCCTGCTCGTCAGATGGAGTATCCTTACATATATATATATATATATGGCAAATTACGGCCACCCCCGAGGTAAAGTCAAATTACGAAAAAATCCCTCTTGTTTGTGTAATTACAGCCAACCCCCTCCTTTTAAATATTTTCAATAAAATTTACGTAATTCGGTTATTTACCGAACCAAATCGTATATTCGGTTTGGTAAACACTGTGAAATGTTGGCGTACCGAAATTTCGGTTCGGTTTTTTACCGAATTAACATCCCTAAATTTACCCCAGGAGGGGTTTTTCGTAAGATAATACATAGTTGAGGGGGGTGGCTGTAATTACCCAAACAGGACGGGGGTTTTCGTAATTTGACCTTAACTCAGAGGGGTGGCCCTAATTTGCCCTATATATATATTATATATATTTTATGTAAATTTGAGTGGAAGTAGAAAATAGGATGCAGTTTCTGAAATAATTGGTGTTGATGTTTCTTGACCGAATGAATTTAGCTGCCATGTCATGGAAACAGATGTTCGAGGACAGACGCAAGGTATGTCGATTATTCTTAAAAGCTTACTTATTTGTTGGAAATGCTGAGTAAAACTATCGTTTTCATACTCGTATAGATGGTGTAGGCATTACTAAAGAACATGTTTTATCACAACGCCATCGAAGCAATTGGGTAGATGCAGACGAGGAGGATGATGAAGGGGACGAGACTGAGTTATATGTCGAGTCAACACCACCGTACTTGTGAAGAAGGCTGCTATTACTTGTCTCTACAGTAAGGTTATCTATACCTATATCTATATCTATATCTATACTTCTTGTAAAAGGACGAATGTAGTTAGTGGTTTCTTCCATTTTTACGTCTTCCAATTACTTGTGTCAAATAATACCCAAATAGTTTCTGAAAAAAATTTACTTTCTCGACCCAAGTCTTGATTTATTTATTCTCTGTTGTTTTTTATTCGTGTTTTGCGATCTGAAATTATCTCGGGTTTTTTTATTTGCTAGCTCCTGTTCACCAATAAAAGAGCGGCTGATATTTCTTACTAATTGATTATTGGAATGAATACGCAAGCTTTGCTAATATCGTTCCTCTTTCCAATCCATCAATGCAGGAAGGTCTAAACTCCGTAAAAGTTGGTTCATGTCGAGTTTGCTAAATAGTCAAAACGAGGGATTTAATGAGAAGATGGGAATGATATTATTATGGCTACTTTGCCTTCGGACATACTGTGGATTTATGCTACTTTTTTTTCCTTCGTCGTGTCATCGAATTTCACATTCTCTCTGACACCCCCCCCTCCCCCCCACCCCCCCCCCCCCCCCCCCCCCCTGAATAGCTTTCTATAAAATGTCACTCAACGGCAGAGTTGTAGCCCTTTTGAGATTTCAATTTTTGTTCCAATCTCTCTCTGTCAATTTATACTGATAAAATCTAAGACCCAAATGAATGGTTATCAAACCTAAAAAAAAGGATTGATCCAACAAGAATTCAAATAAAATTATACTATATAGCTACATATGATGTAAAATTAGGTAATACTGGCTAGTAATTATTAATTAATAAGTAGTTTACTATATGTGAATCATAATAACCAATTTTTGGTAAGAATTAATTAAATGGAACATTAGGGGTGGTAAACTAGCTGAGCCGCTCGTGAGCTCGATGAGCCGGCTCGAAAAAGGCTCGAATTCGAACTCGAGTTTTTCGAGCTCGAGCTTGTTATTAGTTGTTCGTGAGCTCACGAGCCGGCTCATTTGTATGAATTTCATGTTAAAATAGATTCCAAATCCTTCAATTATAATTTCGAACTATTATTGAGGGATTATTGTGGATTTGAAATCCACCTAACCAAATGAAAAAAGTCGCATAACGCATAAGCTTGCAAGTTTTTATTTCATAACAATGACCACACAAATTCAACAAGGCAAAAGTAAAATATTTCGAGCTAATAACTAAATTGTGACATACTTACAGTATATATCAAAGTAAATTAAACTCTTAAGTTCAACAAAAAAAGATGGTTTTCGCTGCTGCTCTGTCTCGACTTTATTTGTGCTGTATGCCTTCGGCGACCTATTGAAGTTAAATTCGCAGATTTTGAGATGTGATAACCAAAAAGAAAAAGAAAACAATATATAATCTGCTGACATACATAATTTGTTCCGAAATATATGTAAATACAATATAATAAAACAGTAATAAGTATGCTTACATTTACTGAGCATGAGTTGGTATTTGATTCCCATCCTCATAGACTTCGGGGATATGAGAAATTTTGGGCCACTCTGAATCATCATCATCACTTATTTCTCGTATTTTCTTTAAATTTAATAGTGGACAACGACCGACAGCTAAGTAACTTAATTTGGTGAGGTGTAGCATTGCTTCCTTGGATGGCAAATGTCGCAACTTCTTGCAGTTGTTTATATGTAATAGCTGCAGAGACGACGAAAAGCTGTTGTTGTTCCCAAACCATTCAGGAAATTCTTGTATATTTCCTAAATCGTGTAAGAATAGCTTAGAAAGAGCAGTGAGATGTTGAATCTGATCCGGTAGATAACCACTACTTTGGTCGTCACAATTATTCCCTGCCAACGACAAGATATTAAGAGATTTGGTCGATGCTTTCAAAATGGCGTCAACGAATGAATTTGAGTACTCATCGCATCTTGTACTATCGATGCTTAAATACCGCAAACTACTGTCATGACCGGAAGAAGAAGAACCAGCTGTAATCTCCGACAAGGAAGATGAATTAGTGGTGATCATATTCATCATCGGAACATCAAGAATTAGTGTCGACAGGCGAGGCATTTTATTCGAGCAATACCACCCAATCACCATTTCCATATTCCTTAAATTCGTCAATCCCTTCAGTGTCAAACTCTCGAGGGATGACTCCATCATTTCATGCGGATAAGGTATTGTTTCCAGATTCGGGCAACCAGTTATATTCAACTTCTCGAGAGCATTGAGGCTGTGTAGATCATCCGGTAATTCTCTGAGTTTCGGACAATTATATATAAACAAATCCCTAAGAGAAACTCCCGCACCTTCCAAGCGCGGAACTAGATGCGTTAAGTTGTTACAATACGATATCGCCAACTTCCTAAGATTTTGATTGTTGCTCAATAACCAATCCGGGAGACACGTCAATCCATCAATTGAATAAATTTGGAGCTCTGTAAGCGAGTTCAATTTGATCCCACATATACTTGTGAAAGGTAATTCGCTATCTAAGGCAATAATATTCAATTCTTTAAGACATGGGAAGTGACTTGGAACACTCATCAATTGCTCGCAACCATGGACCTCCAAGTATTCGAGGCGAGGAAATGCCACCAATTCTTGATTGTCTACTGCACTTGGCAATTCCGCTTCTAACCATTCCGTCAGTTTTGGCATTCCCTGCAACTCGAGCCTTACAAGCGCAGGAAACACCGTCTTGGAAACTCTGTTGCTTGATGTGCTACTACAATTGTCATCGATTCCGTAGAATAACGAACCTATGGTTTGCACATTGTCTAGACCCCTTAAAAGAATAGACTTGAGATTCGGCAAGTGCCCTAACGTCGGGACTTGTTCACATTCTTTGCACCTTGCAATCATTATCATCGTCAAATTATTAAGCCCAGACAAATTCGAAAACCATGACGGAAAACGTTTTCCGCTGAATCCACCAATCCTTAAAATTCTTAGATTTGGATGGGGTTGGAGACCTTCCAACACACTCTCGTCACAATTTTCACCTTCTCTATTTTCAGTACTCCAACGAAGCATTAATTGGACAATGTCTTGCTTTTGTGATAAATTTGCACTCTCGGCCTCTTCTTTGCTATGCACCTTTTCAAGATTATAATTATCTAGTTCCCCCCGAAGATTCTTCAAGCTTCCAAGCTCACCAATTCCACAACCCTTTTCGTCGCCCACTACAAAGTATGGTAGTGTTCGAAGAGAAATTAATCTTCCTATCTCCGGAGGTAATTCTATTTGAGGAATGTGGAGATGTCTCAAGCTCGTCAAGTGTTTCGTTGTGTTTGGCATCTTCTCCAAAACATAGCTTGCTCTAAATGTCTGCAAGTGATAGAGTTCACCAATCGAATCTGGCAAACATTTAATCCTTATGCCTGAAATGTCAAGACATCTCAAATGTATCAGCTCGCCGAATGAACTTGGCAACTCTTGATCATCATTGCTTTCAACACCATCTCTCACGATAATTAGAGCATGCAGGCATTTGAAATCCGACAACATGATATCACGTACATTACCATGGAAATATAATGTACGAAGATATCTTGCTTGTTCTTTTAGGATACGACCTGTTTCAACATCGGTAGATTGTAGGGTGATATACCGAACTTGGTACCCCTCGTCCCAAACATTATTTGTCTTTGAATTTTAAACAGATGATGCTAGATCATGAACAAGATCATGCATGTTATAATATGTTGTGTTGTTGTAATCACCTTTCTTCACAGCTTGTAACAATGAGTTCTGTAGGAGAAGACTAAAGAATTTGTTGCCGACAATCTCCATATCGTCATTTCCTCCAAGAAATCCCTCTGCCATCCAAAGCTCAACCAACCTTTCCTTGTCCAAGTTATATCCTTTAGGAAAAATTGAACAGTACGCAAAACACTTTTTGAGTGATGGCGACGATAAATGATCATAACTCAACTTCAATATATTTGAGACATTATTTTCACTTCCGGACTTGGAGAGCCAATTCTTTTCAATTGAAATCCACTCATCGATATTCTTATCACGCAACAATGCCCCCACCACTTTTGCCGCCAATGGCAAACCCTGACATCTTTTTGCGATAGATACCCCAACTGTCTCCAGTTGTGATGGAATATTATTATCTTCTCTAAAGGCTTTTGCTCTGATTATGGACCAACACTCAACTTCCGGCAAGTTTTTTAGTCGATGCACAGGAAGTGTTCGCACAACGGAAGAAACAATTTCACTTCTCGTAGTAACAATGATGCCATTTCCTGTCCCAGAACTAATCCCTCTCAAGGGATTAATAAAATCATCCCATATTTCCTGATTTTCATTCCAAACATCGTCTAGGACAAGTAGATATTTTTTACCTCCCAAATGCTTCTGAATCTTCTCCAGAAGAGCTTGTTTGGCTCCGAGTTCGACATTTGTTTCTGTTAACAAAGTATGAATCTTGTTGAGAAGAATCACGGCATCGAATTTTTCAGAAACATGCACCCACAAATGCTTATCGAAGTGTGCCCTTATCTCTTCATGATCAAATACTTGTCTAGCTACCGTTGACTTTCCGAGTCCACCCATCCCGACAATAGGGAGGATAGAGAGTACTTGACCATTTGGAAGAGTAGTCATCGTCTTCACAATTGCAGACACGTCATTTTCTCTTCCAAGAAAAATCGGATCGATACCGAACGAGTCGGTTTCCCGGCCTGCAGATGATCCAGTAAGCGGAGCATGTGCACCTGCAATTGACTTTTGAAGGCCATATTTGGTTGCCTCCAGGTTGATCTCTTCCAAGTTTTGATTGATATCCTTGATTTTACGTGCCATTTTTAGACGACGTGCATCGGGAACGCATTGCGGGAGGATGAAGCATCGTATACGCGCCGTTTTCTTCATTTTGTATTGCGTCTGGATTTTCTTGGAGAGATTTTGATAGTTGAGCTCATCCAAGACGTTATCGGCGTCGAAGGCGACACCTTCGAGCTTCTTCAACCAGCGTTTGACGGCTTTTTCGGTGATTTGCTTCTTCTCCGCATCGTCCAAGAGATCTTGAATCATAGAGAGAGAATCTTTTAGTTTTTTCAGGTCTTTCTTGAAATCTCGAACGAGGCTTATTTGCTCCTCCGAAAGTGTGATCAGATTTTGAAGTAAAACTTGAACTGCAGCTCCTACCGCAGCTTCAGCCGCCATTGTTGTTTTGTTGAGAGAGAGAGAGAGAGAGAGAGAGAGAGAGATCTAGAGAGAGAGAGAGAGAGATGTTGTTGAGGAAATTGGAAATGGTAACAACTTCTGGGAAGTTTTGGAAATCAGATTCTTTTCTTGTTTTCAAACCATGGTTCAATCCAAAAGTAAAGCTATATGCTGATTCCCATCAACATAATTCGTGCTTCTTTTACTCAACAGACATTATTTTTTGTGTTATTGCATTCAGCACCTTATATTTTCACTAATTTGTTAAGAGAACCCCATATGTTATTTTATTAGCAAAAAACACCCTAAGTCTATATGGAATGCAATAAACTCATAATAATATAGCAAAAACCCCCTAAAGAAAATGCATTATAAGGATTTTTATTAACAGTTTCATATAACATATATAGGTCTATAAACTCATAATAATTAATTAATGGGACAAAGTAAATGAGCTGAATTGTAGATTTTGGCTATGCTTTAAAATACTAAATTTTGACTATGAAATAATAAAGCAAATTGATGTTGATATATCACGAATCTAAAAAGTTAACCATGGTTAGCTTCAAAAGTAACACATGCTGATACCTTTTCTTTAATTATAGACCACTAGAGGTAATAAAGACTAGTATTTGATTCCCTTCCATTATATTTTCCATTTTATCTTATGGCTACTTGTCACTTTAACTCGCACTAGTCTTATTTATCAAAGAAGAAAAAGAAAAAGAAAAAGGCTTAAAATACAAATTAAAGTAATTTAAAAAAAAATCATTAGAGTTTAAAAAATATTTAAATTGTCTAAAAGTTAAGTTGGTACCATGATTGGATGGAAAGAGTACTTATCTATATACTAATTAGGGCAAATTACGGTTACTAATTTGCGTAATTACAACCACCGCCAACTATGTATTGCCTTACACGTCCACCCTCATGTGGTCAAATTTACATCGGGGTGTTCATCCGGTCGATAAACCGACCGTACCGAATCAAACGAAAATTCGGTATATGTTGGGCTAAATACCTAACACGCAAGTGCACGTATCGCAAACAAGTAGTAAAAGTGGACTCGTGAGAGTCGGATGTCGATCCCACAGGGAATACTCAAATTATCAAATCCTAAGTACCAAATTCTAACAATTATGATTTTTATCCCGCCTACGCAAGGTTGTCAAATTTAATCAACTAAATAATTAATCTAATTATAAAAGCAAATAAACACGAGAAAACATCAATATAAAAACGGATCTATTATGTTCCCCCTATGCGATAATTCATCACCCAATTAAACCTCTATCATGCAAGTTGCGATTCCCGATTGTTAACCCGAGACACTAAATTACTCATAACCCCCTGTCGCGTGTATTATGAGTCTATTATTCATAAACGATTCACTATATGTCTATGCAAACCAATTATGAATAAAGCATTAAATAACAAGTCTCGTAAACGGCTACCTAAGGTATTATCTGTATGTCTACGATAATACATGCAGTTGACACACTCATCCGGTGAAAAGTACTCGAAGACTCTCCTATCATTGTTCTAATTATTAAAACGATCTGTCGATTCAATTCTAATAATAACACATAGCGACATAAATTAGCTACGTTCATGGGCTAAATAAGATCAAATAGAAGAAATAATCATAGAATTAAACTTGCATAATATTAGAAAAATGGGTTCAAATCACCACATAGGGTTCGAATAAAATCCTAGATTAAAAACTTAGCTACTCGTAATTCTTATGATGAACAAAATAGAATAAATAAAATAAATAAGAAAAACTATGCTTGAGTCTTCGTTGATCTTCGTTCTTCGCTTTTTGTGGTCTAAAATTTCGTGCTTATGGTGTAGAGACATGTTGCTTTTATAGGCTTTTCTTAATAAGGAAGTAGTGGAAACCTAATAGGAATAAATTTCCGCCACTTTCTCCCATCAGGATTTGTTCGTCGATTTGTGCCATGTTGGAGTCCGAATTTTGGAATGTTGTGTAAATAAGAATTGTAGCCCTTGAAATTAGCTTTTCAATGCCGCCAAAATCAGCTGATTCGGAGTTCGTATGAAAGAGATATGCCCGAAATGGTGGACACTTCCAAAGTTGTGGCGAGATTCTTTCTTCTAATTTGATTTATTTTCTTATTTGCAACTTTTTCCTTTCTTTTTGATCTTTTTTCCTTCATGGACACCAAATTCTCATTTTTGACCTATAAAACACAAAATCAATCAATTAAAGCACAAATATAATTAAATCTAAACAAAAGATCCACGTAAAGTGAACGTATTGAGCGTAAAATCTACACTCACCCCCAAACTTGAACTTTTGCTTGCCCTCAAGCAAAATCTAATAGCAAGAAAATAACTCAACTGCCGCATCTCATCACATAGATTAATGACCAACTTCATGTTTTCAGAACTTGTAATTATAATGAAAATTCTTAGGCATTCGCAAGCTCAAAATTCAAAGCACTTAGTCACTTACCATAACAAAAAACCACAATTCATGCAATTGCTTCAAGCATCCAATATTTGTAAATTAAAGATAGAAAAAAATTATGCTTACATGCATATGTTTGACTCCAAATACTCACCAAATTATTCTACTCTACTAATATCGAACATTAAGCTATTGGGATCATTGGGGCTTTTTGGCTTTCAATTGTTAGGCTCTTTGGTTCGAGGTAGGAAATATGGGTATATGTGGCTATTCTTCTTGAATTGAGGTGATTACGCCGAAATTTGAAATATAAGCGTTTGAAACAATGAATTCACCTCTAAGGACTTTAATAAACTCAATTCTTAAGAGTTCAAAAGTCTCCACTTTTGCTCTTAAGACAATGGATCGAGCTTTCAAAACAATTCAACAACTAGTCCTTACTTCTCCCTTCTAGTCTCTTCTTCTTCTCTCTCTTTTTTTTTTTTTCGGGGAAGAAGAAGGATCTTATAAAAAAATTTCAACCGAACTCCAAGGGGTAATTTTCGAGAATCTCCATCTTTTCTACCTTATACACTTTGGCTAAAAGAAAGAACACCTTTTCTCCGAGGGTCAAATCAAGGTTTTAAGGATAATTACGATAAACAAGTCGGCTTGAAAGGCTCAAACGGTTCAAACAAGGCCCAAATCATATCCCAAATCACTCACTACTCAATACTTCGTATCATAAATTTCCTAAGGTGAGTTCTAAACCCGAACATAGCATGATCTAACACAAATTAAGTCCAAATTTAAAATACAAAACATTCAACCAAAGCAATGCACAAAGTGTGATTCCTAGAAATAATTTGTTTCTAAGTTCCGTTGAATCGAAAGCTAAACAAACATCTAATCCTTATCACAACAAAAACAAGCAATTTCATCATCAAACATTGATCATCTCTCATCATCATAACTCATCGATGCGTTCGACTCAAGCAATTTTTTTTTTTTAAAGAAAATAATAAATAAACGAAAACGACTATAAAGAAATAAAATCCTAAAGCATGCAATCTAAAGCCTATAAAGCACATAAAAAGTGTTTTTCCACCCCCAAACTTAAAATTTACATTGTTACGTTCTCAATGTAATTAAAACGAAGTTTAAGGATAGAATACACCTTGATTAGTCGAAACGTCTCCACGTGTTGCACCCCTCCATCTCTTCCTCTTTCAAGCAAACACCTTTTTTTTTCGAATTTTTTTTTTTTTTTCAGGGGTGTTCCGGACGGCCGTCCCACGTTTTGCACTGTTTTTGGGATGGCCGTCCCGCAAGCAGTAGGTTCACAATTCGTCGTAACTTCTCCGGACGGCCGTCTGGGGTTTTGCCTTGATTTTCGGACGGCCGTATGGACACTTTGTGTCCGTTTTTCGACCTAAAAATTCAAACATGATTAAATTATTAGATTGCACGCTTATATATATTCTAAGAAAATAAAAAAAACAACTAAAAATACGAAAAATATGAGAAAAAAAAACGATAAATGCTCGGGTTGCCTCCCGAGAAGCGCTAAATTTTAAGTCTTCAGCCGGACTTTGCTTCTTGAAATCGTTATGTCCAATCCAAAGCCTTGTAGATTGCGCATCCATCCATGATCATTATCACTTCAATTGCAACCAAGGCATGGATAGCACTGCAATATGTCACGGTCCACCTTAACTTGTAGTCTTTTTTCGTTGTAATCAATCGGTACGAAGCCACGATGGGATCTTCATCACCCGCTCCCTCAAATCGGTACACAAAAACCTCAAGTCTGTGTATAACCTCCACTTCAAACACATTCGCCTTCTTGTCAACCTCTATTAATGCCTTCAAAGCCACGTCATGAACAACAATAAGATCCTCAATTTGAATATTTGCACTAACCACATCCATCTCCTTATTCTCTTGTTCCGAGACATCTTTGGAGTTTAGCTCGATTGCATTCTCAGATTCATCATCCTCAAGTGTCTTCGTAATTTCTATTTCTCTCATATCGACACTATTTTCTGGACATGGAAGATTTTTCTCACCGCAGGCTTCACCCGAATTTTCTTCGATATAACCATTGCCGATTTCGTCTGGAATATTTTCAAGAGACTCAGATTTTAATTTGAGCGTCATCTCTTCCAGTTGTATCTCCATGTTTCGAAATGATGCTTGAGTGGACTTCATGAATTCGGCAATGAGGGATACCAAATCAAGTTGTTCATCAGTGGTTTGTTGCTGCGAGGGATAATAATTTTGAAAATCAGAAAATTGTGGCTCTCTATGTTGAAACTCGTTCAAATCTTGGTCTTGAAAGCTTTGCTCGTATGTGTTGGTGTAAGTGTTCCAATAACCTCCGTTGGTAATTTCGACGAAATTTGTCGCTTTTGGTGATCCCCAACATTGATTGGAATAATGATTTCCACCACATGCTGAACAAAACGGAGGCATATCACAGGTGTTTTGGAGGTATTCGTCAGATGGAAGCCATTCATATCCCGTTTGAGGTGCCCGAAGATTGTAACCAGGCATGTAACAAAAACAAAAAAAAAAAATTTAAAAA